CAGAAAAATAACCAACGAGAGATACCTTGACGCCACAGGAAGGACAAGGATTTTCAAACCTTATGGCTTCTTGTCCTGCTGCTAAACCAGCTGCCAAAGCTCCGCATTCTCCCCTCTGTCGTTATCATCGAAAAGAGTGCACAAGCCAGCAGAAAGAGTTCGTCACTCGAAAGCCCGACTCCACAAAAAACTCCGAAGAAATTTCACCCGAAGTGAAGATAGCCATCGATCCGCTTCCCGCATTTGAAGCAAAAGTACTGACCACAGCTGGAGCAAGTCATTTTGTTGCAGCCCGCGGACTTGGAGATGGCCATGCCGCACGTTGGACACGGTTTGGCGTCCTTCTTGACAAAGTCGAGATTTTTGAGCTCGTTCACCGGGTTTTCTTCCCGCCTCCGCTGGTCTTCTGAAACTCGGGAGCGTCGAGCCTGCAATTAGAGTAATATAAATGTGACCGTGGCAACAAAGAGAGGGATTGTCAAACTTACGCGAAGGATTAACAAGCGAGCCTCTGGAGTGAGGCATTCCTGACAGTGCCTTGCGGCTCTGAAGAAGCATTATAAGGTGGAATACCTCCTTTATACTTCACGTCTATATGCTGTTCATCTTGCAGCATGAGATGGATGGATGCAAGTTTGCGTCGTCCGCTTCTTCATCGTCCTCGTTCTCCTTCGCACTTGCCCTGCCTACATCTCTCGTTCGAGGCCTCTGAATGCGCGCAGCGCATATAATGGAGCGAGGTGGGAAGTTGTTGCTTTGTTGGCGAAGTGTTGCTTTCTTTGGCCCAGTCGATATGTAGGCAGGGCAAGGCTTGAGTGCATGTGTTACTGTTTCTATTATCTGCCGGGTTCAGTTCTTCGCAATCCTTTGCTACCATTGTTTTTCGTCAAGGGCGCTCTGCGTAATCTTCATACTCGTCGCTCTAGAAGTGATATACTTGTCTTGCCCTTAGGCCTTTGCTTTTCTTTTTTGTTCTTGCATGTCCTTTGTTCCATAGCTTCTACGCTCCTGACTTTGGCATAGTGTCGCAGAGTTGGACTGGGCGGCAGGAGTAGTCTTAGTGAGCAACTTGACAAACCTCTAATAGGAAGGTGATGGTGGCCATGTGTTAGACCAGAGTCCTTCTTGCTTTGTCTGTGGAAGAGCTTCCGACGAGAAACGAAGGGACATCAGCCGACCGGACTAGTTGTTTAAAGGTATCTTGTTCATTCTTTGCTTGGGGAGTTGTCTTCTCTTGACTTGGTTTCTTCGCTTGGGAGGAGGATTCCCATTGCCCACAACACATCGTGGAGCGTCGTCCAAGCTCGGGCCGTGTAAGACTTGTGATGCTGATCATCCCTTGATTCTTCAGGCCCTGTCCGGCTCGAAAATTCCGGTTCTCGGCTCAGTCCCAGGATACTGCCTCAGAATGGTTCGACGCAGAGACGAACTGGATGACCACATCTTTGGAGGTCTCGTCGAAGCCGCCAGAAAATCCGTTCTTGCATCGCAGCTGCGGGCTAGAAAATCGAAGTGTCGGCTTCGCTGTCCCCCTTTGAAGATCTCGATCAGAGCCATATGCGCGAGCTTCACGACTTCCTGGCTGGCAAAGGCTCGTATGTATGATCTTCTGACTTCACTCTCGACTTCGCCGTGTCGTCCTTGACCGCTCAGGAACGTCTCGACGAAGACGCCAACGTTGGCTACTCCAGCTTACGTTTTCAAAACATTTGCTATCAGATAGTGTCTTTAAGTCTCGATGACAAAGGACAGCATCCATGTCTTCGTCCACGTTGTGAGAGGCGTGGGCTTGCTAGATCTGGTTGCCAATGAGCAGTGTAGCTTGCGTCTTGCTCTTGAGGACCAAGGACGAGGGTTCCATTTGTGGAATCTTGTTTGTGGACGTGTTCTTCTCTTCGTGGGCTTGTGCACTTCATACCGCAGTCTTGCTTGCTCTTGCGTCGATCTCGCACAATAGCTCCTTGATCTGGGTGCCTTAATCTTGTTCTTGGCATGCGTCGATCTTTCGCAAGGGCAGTAAGGTGCTGAGGTGGCGCTGGGCGGTGACGTCCTCTTGCATTGTAGCAAGACGAGATGGCGACGTTTGAAACTGTTGGAAACTCGGTGATTGAAGAAGCTTGGGGGTCTTGTCGCGGCTGGCAATTAATCTTGTAGGGCTTTGTCTTGCCGGGAGCTTGTGTTGAGCTTGTGTTGCGGCTGGCTAAGGAAGCTGAAGTGGACTGTCTCAAGGACGTGTTCTGTTTGAGGACTCGAGGACGTGGAGCTGTGTGGTGAGATCAAC